CAGTCATATTTTTCTAAGTTTAGGAAGTGTCATTTAATGGCAGCTGTTGCTTAAAAAATAACAATCAGTGACTCAGAATAAGGCAAAGAATAAATTGGAAATAAAAATGTACCACAAGGATACTGTGACAAACTGTATTCAAAGCTTTGCTAAATTGCAGAAAAATACATCTACTGGTCAACTAGTTGGCTAAACTTGTTATATAAGGAAATTAAGTTAGTTAAAGAGGACTTTTTGCCTTATGAACCCATTTGCAACCCCAGCATTCTCAGTCTTTATAGGAGAAGTGTTCCAGCCCACTAATTATTTTTGTGACCCTTCTCTGGATCTGGTCGGTGTCTGTCTTGTACTGGTGACCAGAGTTGAACACAATAGTCGAGGTGGGATCCCATGAGAGTGGAGTAGAGGGAGAGAATCATCTCTCTTGACCAGGTGGCCACACTTCTCTTTATGTAACTCAGGATAAAATTGACTTTCTGGACTGCAAGTGCACATTGTCAGCTCATATTTAATTTTTCATCCACCAGTATCCCCAAGTCCTTCTCTGCTCTTGATCAATTCATCACTCAGTCTATTTGAAGCAGAATCTTCCATTTGACCTTGTTGAGCCTCATGAGGTTCACATGGTACCATTGATGCTAAGTATAATAACATTATTTACATGAGAATTATTGCTTGCCTAGTAGCAAGATTGTGAAAAACATTATTTATGGTAAAAGTTTGCATTTTGTGGTCCTAGATCAGTACCCTCACCAGCTTCCTCCATATAGTGACTGAAGTTGGTATTTTGTCTCCTGATTGTTTTTTTTTTTTTACTCCCAAAGAAAGAATATTCATAAGATCTGTAACACAATTCGGCAAGGAAAGTTGGCTTGTGTAGCCATGGCATGTTTCCTTGTCTCAAAGTTAGCTGTTCATGTAACTCCTCTGGGTATTTCCCATTTCAGCAACACACAGGAGCTTGTAAGAGACAGTCTTCTAAACAGAGAGAATGAAAGATTTTTACAGTTGCAATGCTAAGATGCATGGCAAAACATACCAGTGCTTCTCGACAATCCTCCATGGCAGGCAAGGTGAAAAAAGGAAATGGAAGAATCTTTACACATCTTTTCAACTGACTGAATGATTTGGACAGTGGAATGATTTGGATGTGAGGTTTGGAGACCCAACCAGATAGTTTCAAAAAGTGAACTCCTTAAAGTCCATGCAGTCCTGATGCATCTTCCTTGTTCATAACAATTTGGTGTTCATGACCTTCTCTTGCACTTCCTTTATGGGAAAAGGGCTATAAAAGAATAAGAGACTCACTTTTCCTCAGAGAGGGACAAACACAGAAATTGCATTGAGGATGACAGGGGGTCATAATGCTGTACATTTTAGAAACAGGTAAGACCAACAGGCTGAGGAAAGAGAGATGCAATATGGTGTTACTCTGTGTGTGTAACCTGTCTTCATGTCTGCTAGCACCAGGGGAAGGGGAGACCTGTCACAGGCTGCCCAAGATCTTATAGGAAAAGACAGGCCCACAGCGTACTTTTCTCATAAGTACAGTGCAAAACCCAGAATCTGTCCCAGAAATGTCATTATCAAGGGGTGTGAGAATAAAGGAGTGAAGATTATTTAACATTACATCAGCTTCCAAAGCACTGTAGTGAACAGTTGCATCAAAATTCATATGGACAAAAATAACCCTCTCATGGCTCATAGTTGCTTGTTTATGTGGAGACTTGTCTCTCTAAGGAAGGCATTTCAAACTTTGACGACTGCTGAGAATGTCAGGACTTGATGAGGTCCTTCTCTGCAAATCTTTCATCATCTTTGGTAATTACAGATAAAGACAACTTTGACATGGGGTTGCTGTCCTTATTGACATGGATTGTTGCAGTGCTTGTAACTCTTTTTGAGCACAAATACACATCTACTTAAGACCTTTGAGGAGGGGACTTGAACTAAGTTTCTCTACAAACTGGAACCTGGAGAAATAAATACCAGGGGGTTGGATTTTTTACATTAAGAGAAGTGAATATTTTAATATCTTAAACGTTGTTAATCTCTTTCAGAAACTTTACTCGAAGCAAGCGACTAAGTTTAAGGAATGAAACATGACTCCCAACAGCTTGCTTTTCTTTCATATTCACTTGATAATAATTCACTGTCAAGCCAAATCCTCAGCTACCTTTTTCTGCTGAAAAATCCCCCTGAGTGTAGATAACAGAGAAAGCTAGAAGTCCTTCTTGCTGTTCCCAAGACAAACTTGGCATTTTGGTTGACTTCTGAGTTTTCCTACAGGCAGTGTATATGCCTTGTTGATATGAGTTCTGATTTATACCCTGCAGAGATAAGAGGATCTCTGGTGACTGTATCTCACAACATGGTCTCACTGATCTGCTGTGGTCTTTCGTTGTATGTTAGATCCTCAGTGCTTTGGAATTCTGGAAAGCATCCATGCTAAGATATGCATGCAAATCCCATGATTTTGAATCCAAAAGTAGATACTTAACACTTAATAGAATCTGGAATGCTGTCCTGAATCAGCATAGATCTGAAATGCAAACTAATCTGCTAATCTATTGTGAAAATATATCATCTCAGGCTGAAAGCCTGCTTTGGTTGATGGTGATAAGTGGGAAACTAATGAACTTAAATAACCAAACTCCAAAGTTTGGTCTTGCAGAGGGACAAGAGGAATTTTGCAGGAGTGGTTCCTAGTGTTCATGAATCATCACAGCACTAGCTGCATCCAGAATCGCACATTTTATCTGAACATCCCTTGCCATTAGCCAAAGGAGCAAAAAGGGAAGAAAAAACCTGAATAGTTTTTTGGCATAGGTCTCATGATAGTACCTATTCTTTTCCCTAAGGCAAAGAATAAGTGAAAAATAAATTTTTCATTTCAAAACAGATGATACAAGGAAACCATGAAAAGAAGAAGAAACCGAGAGGCAACGGATAGGAAATTTAAATTTCCCTGTCAGTTCAATGGTTTAAGGTTAATAAATTAAGGTAATTGAAATTGAGGTAACAACAGGTCTGTATGAAGCAAACTACTGTCTGAGAGGTTTTGTGGCTTTTCTGAGAGACAGGTGGAGCATGTGTCAAGCTTGACAAACAAGTTATTCAGTATGGTATACAAAGTTTGCACTAGGACTGCCTGCACACTGTATAATATACTTTTTTATATATATATAAACAAAGTACTTCTATTGAATGGCATATAAACAGGTTTTCACACTACCTTTAGAAACTTGTCTTTATTGCTCAGGAATAACTGAGATAGTGGTGGTGGGCACGGGGTGTCAGTTGGGTGTTTGGTGGTTGTTGTTGTTTTTCTTTCACAGCCTATTGTGAATAAAATTTTTATTATTGTACTACCAAAACTAATTTTTTCTAGTGCTACTCTGTGCACACTTTTCACTTCTGTGCATACTTGCAATGATCAAAATTTCCTTGAATTAATTATATTTCTGTTATGTTTTAATAGCTTTTTTTTAATATACCAAATGCTACACAAAATGTATTATCTTTCTGCTCATATTTCTTCTGAAAATTTGAGAGGTTTATTTACTTTTTTGTCTTCTCCTGTGTCATTTAGACCACTGTGGTACATTTGCAAAATTGTGGTTTGCCCTGACTTTGTATTGACATAGGTGTAAATGACTACTGGAGGAATTTCACAATTAAGTCTTGTGGATCCGTAGATAACAGAAACAGAAAGGATGACTTCAATAGCTTAAAGGAAACCTATTCTGTTTATTTTAGAGTTAACTCAGTATGGAAAAAGTTTCCTGTTTAAAAAAAAAAAGGGGTGAGGGAAGAATGCCCTTTCCCTTGGATAGTTCGAAATGTTTTGGATTTAAAAGTTCAGACTTGGCAGGCATTTGAAAGAATGTGTACTTGTTAAGTCCTGGCCAAAAAAAAGAAAGAGGGGTGAGTGTGGGGGGAAAAGTTGTGAAATTAAGAAATTAAAACTGTTAGGAATTCTGTTCTTTTGAAGAATAAATTTTGAAAGCCAAACCCTGCATTCTCATTTGTACTGAGGACCTCCACGGGGTATGCTGTCTGAACTAATAAAACACATGAAACTTCACCTAAGGTCAAATACTCAGAATACAAGCTACGAGTGCTAAAAAGGTATCTGGCTGTTGACCTCTCTTTTGGGAGTCCAGCCAGCATCAGGGCTGGTACGGGTCTGCTGTGGGAGAAGAGGGGGAGAGCCATGGAGAGCACGTCAGGGTATGTGCTCTCCTTGACCTTGCTCAGCCCAACTGCTCTTTGGATGCTGTTCTGCAGCTGGGTTCCAGGAGTAGTGAGGGGTTAGTGAATTGAGGGGAAGTTTTATGCCCTCCTTCTCCTCTTACATCAAGTTCTGTAGAAGTGCTGTCACACAAGGTTCAGATTAGATATTATGAAGAAATTTTTTTACTGTAAGGGTGGTGAGCCACTGGAACAGGTTGTCAGGAGAAGCTGTACATGCTCATCCCTGGAAGTGTTCAAGGCCAGGTTGGATTGGGCTCTGAGCAACCTGGTCTAGAGAGAGGTGATAATTCTATAATCTCAGACCACCGCAGGCATAGTTCCTTCCTCCCAGTGCCCAGTTGTTCCCTGAGCCTGTCTGCTCAGACTGTGTCAGTGCTAAGGTGTGTGCCCAGGTAGGTGCAGAGCTGTGCCCTTCTGAAATCATGAATTGCAGGGAGACACAAGACATTATTAATGTGATTAAGATGTTGCCTTACATGTTGCATTCTGACCTCCAACCTTATTTGTAAGCTGATGATATGTTCTAGAAAGAAATTTTTAAACCAAAGGTAGGAAACTAGGGAGTTGTAGAATTCATGCCTCAATAGGGGCAGAGAGCCCTTTCCTTTGGGGAAGAGAGTTGGTGGGGGAGTAGGTGATTAGAGATATGTATGGGAAAGATACTGACATGGCAAATATTATGCGTTTGCTTTTTATATTCATCTGTTAATGGATTTGGGTTTGTTTTTAATTTTTGGACACAGGACCTGTGAAGGACGAAACATCCGGTACAGGACATGCAGCAATGTGGTAAGTGAAGTATAGCTTTGATATGATACAAATCATCCCATATGACAATCACATTCATGTTACAGCAAATAATTTGGTAAAGTGATAGTGAGAATATTTTAGTTATCTAAATTGCCTTTATACCACAGACCACAGTCAGTTTCTTGAAAAGTAGAGAGATTATGGCCTGATGCTAAAACTATTTGGAAGGGATTGCAGTCACAGCCCTCACAAATAAAATGTCAATGGAACTTCAGAGTTGCTATTTACAACCTCCCTACCAGAACCAAGACGACTTGCGTTCCCAGTATTACTTTGATAACCATCTGGTTCACATTGGGTAGTCTGTTACACCGCAGGATTAAGCTGTTAAGAATTGAAGACAAGTTAGTAGGAGATATGTGATTTTATGATTTTGTATGTTTCTGTTCACTTGTGCCCTCACAGCATTATAATTCTGTTGCATGTCTTAGAAAAACAGTTTTACATAGACTGTACCAATGTTTTGGCATTTTCAAAGGCTCTTGCTTGTTTTGTTTTACATGTAGCCAATGAAGTTTTCAAAACAATAAAATAAGAAGCTTCAAATTCTGTCTCAGCAAAGGGAAAGTATGTTTTCACTGGTGAAAATAGAAATAAAGATTTTCATACGGAAAGTTTTATAGGGTGCCAAGAATAGTAAAGGGTCTCAAGTTATGTGGAGAAATGTCAGTTTTACCAGTAAAGATGGAAAATGAAATCAAACATACATTGGGCCAAGCTTTCTCATGCCTGATAGGGACATATTCAGAAGCCTTTCAATAGGAACTTTGTTTAAAAAAGTTTAAGAGTTTAAGTTAAAAAAACTAATATGTTCACTCATATTTAGCTCATCTTTTTTTCAATAGACCACAGTTCATAATGAAAGAAACTGCTTCTATCTGAGTTGCAGTCTCCCACGCAGTAAGGTTTCTGTCAGTTTTTTAGGAGTTGGACTTTGATAATCCTTGTGAGTCTCTTCCAACTCAGAATATTCTGTGACTCTCTGAGTCCTCTGAAATTTGTTCTGAGTGTATCCTTTGGGTTCCTGAAATGTCTTTTCAGTCTAACCTTCAGCTTCGCTGACAAAACCTACAGTAGTTAATAGGTAGGTCTTCTGGCAGATTAGCAGTCCAAATTTCATCTGAGGAATTTAAGATACACCACAACTGTGTAGGGAATGGGAAGGTTGATTTCTGCTAGTCAAGCTGCATGCTGTAGCTCTGTGATATGACATGAAGAAAAAAAAGGTATACTGTTAAAGGCTAATTGGACTACAGTTAAACCCATTAATTTTGTTTTGGTTGTGTGTTCATGCACATTGTGACAGTCTCTTTCTGTATCTGACCTGGCCTGTGTATGTTCAGAACAGTGAGACAAACTAGCATCCTGCTCTGCTGCCACTAACTGTTCCTGAGTCACCTTGATGAGAAGTTGGGATTAACTAGGTTGCAACCTGTGTTTTGGAATCATGGAGTTTAACTTTCTAAGATAAGGAATATTTTTTAATGTTGTTTTTAGCTTAGGTTCTGCTCTGCAAATGTACAACTGAACAGTTTTCTTTCAAAATAAAACCTTGCACAGTTTTGTCCTTTGCATACCTTGTATTTGGCAATACTTGTTCCAGAATTTCCAACATAGTAGTGAGGCATGCAGCTGCAGAATTTACTTAATTATTTTATACCAAATAATCACGAATTAAACTTTCAAACTTTCATCTTTACTCTGCTGAAATCAGTGACAGTTTTGCCACTGAAATATGAAAACCCAGGACTGCATTTATGATTTCAAACCATTTTTGGGAGAGGTTAAAGAATGACTTGTGCTACGTTACTCTTGTCCTTAATAAAAGAATTAAGGGAGTGTTCATTTGCTTTCTTTTTGTAAACGTACAAAACTAGCAATAAATCAAACTATTGTCAGGCTTCTGACTGCATTGTGCTTTGACTAGGCCTTCGAAATACAGCTTTATGTCACAAAGAAAGTACTTGGCTGCTGCATTCATTTTGCAGACATTTGATTTTGGGAGGACAGTATTTTCTATTTTTAAAGTATGTTGAGTCTTTCTTTGATTCAAATGTTATGCCCTTCTATTTATAGTCTTTCCTAATCCTGGGCACTGTCCACCAGTATTCAGAATATCAGGCACTGGAAGGACATTGGGACCATGATCAGCATCGGAACTTGTGGTACAGCCATTGTAGTCCACAGCAACATGTGTCTGGGGCTGGGAACTTAGAAATGCCTTATGCTGCACCAGTATAAATCCAAAGCAGTTTGAGAACCCCAGACTTACATCTCTCCTAAAATCCCTTCTGTTACTGAGTTGTTTAACTATGACCCTGAAATACTATTTGTCTCTTTCAGAATAGTAAAAAAAAAAAAAAATTAAATTATGTGCTTTGTCTTCAATGAAGTTTACTATTTTGTCTCCAAAATCCAAGGATACATACACACAAGGTGCATCTTGGAAACAATTCATTAACACAATGGCTTGTTGTGGAATTCTGCACTAGAAAAGGCCCACAATATTGTGTATATTTTTGTTAACTCAGGTTTTACCTGCTAAGATTTCATCCACAAAGACTCTGAAAATCCAGAGGATGGAAATTCCAGGCTCAAGACTTACATTTTCATCTGTTAAATGACAGTCTTTGCTTAAAAGGAAAATGAGAGCAAATCCCCCCATTCTGCCCCTGCAAGTGAAGCTAGCTGTCATGCATCACTGAAAATTCCTGTGAAATTTCTTTGATTCTTTTAAAAATCAGTGAATCCTGAAATACAAGTTTCCATTACCGTTAGCTTGTACATAACTTGAGGAATGATGTTATTGTTCATAAAATAACGAGTCTTTTTATTTTTTGCGAGCTGTCTTTCTGTGAACTAACAGAAATACTGTCATTATTGACTTTTATGATTGTGCTCTTGCAGGAAAGGATGGGTAGTCACATATACTAAAAGCAAACTATTTCAAATGTGAAAATTGGAGAATGAGAAGAATAATTCTTGGAATCTGGCAATGAACACATTTTATAGGCACTACCATTTACAAGATTTTGCTATAGCTGGTTTTAATTCATCCTGAAATTAAATTACAGAAGGGGAAAAATGAGATAAAGAGAGGCAAGGGGAAAGAGTGGCATGCATGTTTTTCCAGTGATCTATATTAATTATTCTAGGGGTGGTGAACCATTTTGCATAATATAGTCTATAAGAGAGATTGATACTATTGTCTGTAAGGCTTCTGAGCAGTTCTTAAATGAACAAATCCAGACCAGTATGTTTGCCACTTGCATTGCCTGTTGATGATCAGCAGCTGGAAAGATTTTGGGTATGAAGCCAAATGTGTAAATAGTAAAAAAAGGAATGAGAGAATCTGAAGATGATTTAGGCTTGAATTTATCTGTTTTTTTCTTCTTACTATTCATACTTACTCAAAGCATGTTCCCAGCCATTTTAGAATATACTTGTGGGAGGGAGAGAGAGAGTCATTTGTTTTTCTTTAGAAAACTGGTCTGAATGTAATGAAAACATATTTTTGCATCTGTTTGGATTATTATACTAAACATTAAGCAAAATAAACAAAAATATTTCCAAACTCTGACTAGGAATTTTTTACTCATTCTTTTTCTTTTTCTTTTTTTTCCCAATCTTGCACACTCTTTATTCCTTCTTCTAGGTGCATTCTTAGTTGCCAGGTTCTTTTCAGATACTGTACCAGGCTGTCATGTCATCTCATTTGTCATTTCTCATTTTCAGTCCTTCTGTCCCTATGCTATGTTTTTCTTTCTTTTCCCTCCATTTACATGAAAATATCTCTGAAAGGTGTTTGTTGGACTATGTATTGTCTGCATGCATTCTCTCTTCATTCTCCTCAATTATGAAACTTCTTATTGTGATTGAAAACATTTTTATTTTCCCTGGTATTTTTCATTTCACTGCACTGCTTTCTGAATCAGACTCAAAAAAAAAAAAAAAGAGGCATGAGACTGACAGTGAAGCTGCAGAACATTACTAGTGCTTTCAAGAAGATTTAGAGCAGTTCCATTAAGCCTAGGATAAAATCTGTAGATGGTAGACCCCATAAATCACAGAACTAAAACTTGTAAACACCACCTGCAACTCTTTTATATATACCTCACTTTCTTCACTTGGCTGAAGTACCAACTGTAATGACATCCCCCATTTTTGGCTTGCATTAAGACAATCTGCTTCCATCTCTGTTTTTTATCAGCTCATGCTGCATTTTGTATACAGCAGCACTGATATTGCTCATCTTACTTTCCACAAAATAACACTATCTTCTTTCCATGCACTAAATCCCAGCCTGTTGTAAAGTGTCAAACCTTAACTTCCATATAAGTGCATAAGTCTCAGAATTATTGGCTTATGTGTATGAGAAGCATCATCACCAAGTAGATTTTTTCAGAGCACAAGAATGATTAGCAGGATTTAATTTTTCTACCCAGTGGTGACTAGAAATGCCTTGTGAAGTCTTTTGCAATCAAACCTCCCAGTTCACATTTTGCAGTAAAACCATAATTTAAAAGAATTATAGGCACTACACATATCTCCTTACTAACACGTGATTTATTTAATGTCAGTTCACTTTTTAAGTGGAATTTCGTCAGGTCATTTATTTTGACTACAGTCTGTTCTTCAAACTGCTGGATTTTAATAACTACCATCTTATTTCTGATTGGATGCATTTTAAAACCTCTCTGTGTTATCTAGAAATTATTTCTTCATACTTGGAAATAAGTCCTTGTAGTATCTTGCAAATTATAGAAGCTTGGACTTCTGGATTTGCTATCTTCTCAGGAAGCAGAATTGTGGATCTCTGACTATTGAAAAATAGAAGAAACTCCAAGACCCAAAACAAAACCAAAAACCAAAACAAAAAACCCCAAACAAAACCCAAAAATACCCCAACCATTGCTACCATTCAGTGTTAATTTATAAAGAACCTTTGTAGACCAAACAAACTGAATTCCTTTCATTAC